AAAAAATTTATTTATTTTTTTAAAAAAAAAATTTAAATTTCTTATAAAAAAAAAAAAAAAAAAAAAAAAAAAAAAAAAAAAATGTGTGCTAATATGTCTTAATCTTGGACATAGGGTTTTAATCTTCTGATTACATAAAGTAGAAAGGTACATTTTATTAAATTTATTTTTTGGGTTAAAAATAAAAAAAAATAATGTATATGAACAACGTATTACTCTTTTTACATCTGAAAATTATAATTTTTTTATTTGTATTATAAATGTTCTTAAATGCAACAGATAAAAAAATATAAATAAATAATTATATAATAAAATATATATCTATATATAATAACACAACAATAATAAAATTGTATCAGTCTTTTTTTTTTTATTATATATGAAAAAGAATATATTGGTAATATATTTTACTAAATTTTTGTTCTATTTTTATTTAACTATTTTATGCTCTTTTTTTTTTTTTTTTTTTTTTTTTTAATTTTTTAAATGTCTTTCATATCTATCAAAAAAAATTAAAGGAAAGAAAAAGCGATAAAGTTATTTAGATCTATATTATGTTTTAAAAAATAAAAAAAAAATAAAAATGCAAAGATGAAGAAATTTTTAATGATATTTTTTACGTTTTATATTTTAAATGGAATAATTTGAAATTTCTTTAAAACGAATTAATTTATTGATATTTTTAAATTCAATTATTTAAAGTGTGGTGTAATGAATCATGGAAATAAAAAAGAGTGTTTTAATTTTGTTTTTATTATATGTCTTTAATTATATTAAAAAAGAAGAAAATATAATAAATAGATATGAGAATAATTACAACATTTATAAATTAAATAAAGTAAACCATTTTTCTCAAAATTATGCAAATAAAAAAACATGTTTTCCAATAGAAAGAAATATAAATAATTTTAACAGTTTCTTATTTGACAAATTCATTAATGAAGATCTTTTTTTTTTAAGAATGCACCACGATGATCAAAGGTAAAATATTTCTTTTATTTTACAAATATTTTTAATCATAAAATATATAATAATCGATATACTTATTAAATACATAAAAAAATTTCTATCATTTTTATATAAAAATATTATATATGTTCTATTTTAGTTTAAAGATATATAATTGCATAATTATTTTAACTAGGGACATATTAATTAAATATGTCATTTTTTATTATTTCTTTTAGATATAAAGTGCTAAATTTAGATCAAAAAAAAATTATAGTATCCATATATTTAAATAATTATCTTTTGAAGAAAAAACAATTCAAAATGAGTTTTAGACAAATGGTAATTCTATTATATTGTAATTTTATGAATACTATTATTATAACAGTTTTCAAAATGAAAAAGGTATTATATAATTATATAATGGAGAGTATTTTATTCTTTTTAAAAAATATGTTGAGTATAAAAATATAAATAGTATATTTAAGTTTCATTTTGTAAATATAAATATATGTTTTTTTTTTTTTTTTTATATATAAACTTAAGGTATTTTTTTTTGTTTTATATTCATTTTATAATTCTTGTTCTTATTTAATTTTTCAAAAAAATGTGTATATAAACTATTATTTTATAGGAAAATAGAGAAATAAATGAATGCATATTATGTTTTAAAGAAAAAAAAAATATTTATCTCATAAGGAAAGTAAATAAAAACGAAGAAAAAAATAACATAATTTTTAAAAATATAGAACTATATTTCACTAAAATAAATAAATTTTTGATGCTTTATAAACATATGACAAATAATTATTTTTCAAAAAATATATTTATTTCTATAGAATATTTGATTTCTAAAATAAAAAAATATGTTGTTATAAATCCTCTTTTTATTGTAAAAAATAAAAAACAAAGATATCTGAATGAATTGAGAAATTTAGAAAGAAATCCAATAGAAAATAATAATATTAATATAAAAATAAAAAAAAATAAAGGTAATAGCAAGAAAGAGAGTATTAAAAAAAGTAGCACTAATGTAAGCATAGATCAAGAAACGAATAATAACATTACTAAATTAAATAAATTTTCATTTTTAATTAAAAGCAAATTAAGAAGAGGATACCTTAATATATATAGTTCAAATAATAAAAATGAATCAAAATTAAATAATGAAGAAGAATATATGATTCCTTATTTTGCAACTAATCAAGAATTTATAAGAAGTGAACAAGGACTAACATCTTTAAAAATAAAAGGTAAGTGGTTAATGAATTTCAAAGGAGACGAACTACTCATATTTGATTCATTTGTAAAATGTGAAGGAAAAATCATTGCCAATGTTAAAATAAAGGAAAAAAAAAATTTTTATATCTTAACTCATCCATTTAAGTTTAGTGAAAAAGGCACATTCATTATTTGCGTTCAAAAAAAAGTATTACAATCTATTGGTTTAGTTAAAATTCAAAAACAAATAGTTGACGAATTCGATTCTTTAATTGATATGAATTTGATATCTAAATTTAATTGTATTAATAATGATACATCAACTATGGTTTTAAGAAATGATAAAATAAGAATTATTTCTTCCATAGATAAAGGGATACGTTCAATTTTATCATTAGATACTGATAGAGCATTAGAAATGAAAAAAAATAAATTTAATCTTTTAGCATGTTCGACATATAGAGAATATATTACTCTCTTAGATAAAGAACTTGTTGTTATTATGGATATAAAAAGAAGACAAATAGAAGAAGCAATTTTTCATCATTTAACTAACCCAGTTGATATATTTTTAGATGGATACAGGATTTTCATCACTGATGCAGATAGAAAAAATATTTTTTACTATAATTCGATTTTTCTTAAAAAAAAATATGATGATAACTCTGAATCAGAAGAAGAAAATATAAAAATAAAACCAGATTTAGATAAAAATGATAAAGATTTAAATCTTAACTCTGATGGAATAGAAAATGATAATAAGTTAGCAGAAAAAGAAGAAATTACTCATGGACAAATGGAAGAAAATCTTACAGATGAAAATGAAGAAAAAAATAAAGATTCTATAGAAAACAATACCATTAAATATAAAAATAATGTTGAATTAGATTATATAACAAATGGGGATCATTATATTCTACATGATGTATATTTTTGGATTAAGATAATTAATTCTCAGAGCGAAAATAAAATTCCAGAAGCTTTAATGGATGGCGTTATAACTTTAATATATCCTGCAGGTATTGTAGTAGTGGAAAACAAGGTTTATTTTGTGGACACAGGGTTACATATGTTGTTTTGCTTTTGCCTAATTAAAAAAAAAATTATACAAACATTTGGGTATCATAATATTCCAGTAAAAAATAAAAATGGGTTAGATAAACCCTATTCCTTATCCCTTTTTAAAACTAATCATGGAAGAAGAAATCTTTTGTTTTTAAGTGAATTATCAAGCTCAAGAATATTAATATTTGAAACTTATCCGGTTATTAAATTATATTTAACCTATAATAATATAGTTTTTGATATAAACACTTCAGTTTTAACAACTCCCCTTTTTTTAATAGTATGTGGGTTAAAATACAATAACGAAAATTTTAAAAGCTACATAACCTTTATTAATATAAATGAATTGTCTGAAATCGAGATAGAATACGATGAATTTCCTAATGTTTTTAAAAATGGGGAACTATTTAATTTTATACCCTTAATAAAAAGTGACAACATTAAAAAATTCGAAATGAAAGTATATGAACGTCATTCTAAAAATCTTATAAAAACGGGATTAAATATTGATAAACAAAGTGGGGTTATAAGTGGTAGAATTACAATTTCTGCAAGGTTTGATATTAAATTAGTAGTATATGATTTTTTTAAATATAAAGTTTTAAATTTTTCAAATTTTTTATCTACATGTCCTAAGGGACATTATTTTATACTTAAAACATGTCTACCATGTCCTGTAGGATTTTATTCTACTTACTCAAATATACTTAATTGTATAAGTTGTAATAGTTACAAACCGAATTCAACAACATTCCATAGTGGATCGATTTCAAAATATGAATGCTTATGTAAACCTGGTTATTACTTAAGAGAGGGCAAATGTCAAAAATGCCCTCTAGGTTTTTATAAAGATCAAATAGGAGATTTTACGTGTCAATTTACATGTGATAATAATCAAATTAGTACAGTTAAAGGAGCAGCAAGTTATGAAGAATTAAAATGTATTTGTAAAGATGGATATTATTTAGATGATCGTTCAAAATGTGTCCCATGTCCTTTAAACAATTATTGCCTTTATAACCCACATGCTAAAAATAAAGCTGATATTATACCTTGCAAAAAAAATAGATTAACACTTAAAAGAGCAGCAGATTCAGACAAATATTGCTTATGTGCACCAGGCTATTTTTATGATTCTCATTCAAAGGACTGTAAAATATGTGATTTCAAAGATTTCAAAGGGAACATTTCTAATGATTTATGCAATCCATTTAAAATTTCTCCTACTTCTACACAAGAATTTTTAACTAACGAAAATTACATTGAACATTATAATAATAAGATAGGTAAAACAACTAGTATCATTTTTTCATCGAAAAAAGGTTCCACATCTTTGCATGATGCATATCTTTGTGAAACTGGATATTTTTATAGTATGAATAAATCTATTTGTTCTGTATGTAGGTATAATAATTATTGTGAAGGGTTAGATCATACAATAATGCCATGTCCTCAAAATTCTGTTACCATAAAATTGAAGAGTTTTAGTATTTTAGATTGTTTATGTGAAAAAGGATATGGAAGAATAATTATTAATAAATTAAAATCATTTACTATTTCTTGTGTGTTGTGCCCTTATGATACCTTTCAACCTCATCATTCATCTGGAGAATGTATTCCTTGTCCCACTCATACTTTTACAATGTCTGTGGGATCGACTTCTATTACAGATTGTTTGCCTAAGAGAGGGTACTACAATGAATTTTTTGAGCATATTTATAAATATTCAAAGAAAAAATTAATGCAGAAAAATACCCAATTTTTGCAGTACTTCCATCTTTATTTAAATAATCAATACAAAAAAATTAACAAAAAAATAAAAAGGGTAAAGAATGATAATTGTTATAAGGCATATTATGAAAGTAAAAGTGATAAGGATACGGATAATGATAATAACATAATTTATGAAAGTTATGAAAATAAAAATTATAGTGATAAAAGGGATCACCATTATAATAGAATAGAAAAGTATTACAAAAAAGATAATTGTGATTATAATAAAAAATATTTTTCAAAAAATATGATCTACAATAATTATGACAAAGAGAAACTTTTAAATGGGAATATTAATAAAAGCAAATATATGGATATAGAAGAAAATAAAAGTATAATTAATTTTCCAAAAATATATAATAGAATACACAACTTAAAAGGGGTATATAGCAATGTATTTCATACAAATTATTTGAAAAATATTCTCTTAATGGATAGTTACAAAACTTATCAATTCCTAGAAGAAAATGGTTCTATTTTTTACGTCAATGAAAAAAAAGATCATGAAGATGTTTATGATATTGCAAAACACAGAAGTGAGTTAATAAAAAAAAACATTTTTGATAAAAGACAAATAAGAATAAAATCAAGGTTGAAGAGACATTCAGTGAAAAATTTAAGTAATCCAGAAAAAAAAAATAAAAGATTTAAAAAAAATAAAAATAGAATATCATATTCAGTAAAACATAAAAATTTAGTAAATTATATTGATATAGTTGCTCAAAAAAAGGATGATATAATAAAAACAATAAAAATAAGAGAAGAAAATTACTCTACAAATATCACGAAGGCCATAATTTATGAATGTTATGAAAGTGAAAAAAAAATAATACTAGGGAGAAATGCATATATATCTACAATCCCTGAATTAGATGTAATAAGTTGTTTAAATGTATGTATATCCAATATATATTGTACAGGTATAGAAATGGATAAAAAAAATGATAAAGGAAAAATAGACTTATCTTTTATTTTATATAAAAGTTCGGGAAAAGAAATGATTTCTTTTTATAAATGTAATTTATATTTCTATGAGGAAATTAAATCATATTATATAAATAATAACTTAAAAGAAATAACAAATGTAATTGAATATGATGATACAGGTAAAATAGTAAATTGCGCAGTAGAAAGGAATAAAATGCTTAAATTATGGAAAATATATGTCTTCAATATATGCCCAAATAACTATTATTGTAATAGGGAATCGTTTGAGAAAAGTAAATGCCCTTTGAATTCTGTAAAAAGAAATTACAAAGGAACGATAGAAAAATGCTTATGTTTACCTGGTTTTTTTTTAAAAAAAGATTTAAATATTTGCATACCTTGTGAAAAAGGAACTTACAAAAATATCATATCTAATGATGAATGTATGAAATGTCCTCTTAATTTTACTACATCTGATGAAGGTTCAAATTCAATATATGATTGTACTTGTAGAGAAGGATATTATTTTAGTGGTAGTAATACTATTAAATTAATAGATATAAAAAAGGAAAAAGATGTGAATAGGATAAAAGAAAGTCAAAAAAAAAATAATTTAATATTAACTCAACAAAATGATATCGAAGATAGGGAATATAACTTAGGCAAATATAAATCTAAAGGAAGAAAAAAAAAATTTCTTATAAAAAAAGATAATATTCTAGAAAAAATAAAAAATGTTAAAACAGAAAATGTTATTCATGAAAAGAAAAATGAACAAGTAATGGATAAACAAAATATAATTTTAGAAAATAATAATGTGACTTTCATTCAAAAAAAAAATACATATTTAAAAAATTCACATGTAAATCATATGCTTGTAAAAAATCACTCGAAAAAACACACTAATCACTTATATTTAAATTATGAAAACTCTGATGAATATCATAAATATATGGAAGATATGAAATGTTTAAAATGTCCCAAAAAAATGTTTTGCCCAGGTTTATGGCTCAAAAATTTCGAGAAGGAAATCCATCATCCCCCAATTTTTTGCCCTGAAGGATCTTTTATTCCTGAAACTACACTTGAATCGACGGATATTCATAAATGTTTATGTGGGAAAGGATATAGATTAAATTTAAAAAATAAAAATAAAAGATGTGTAAAGTGTGAAGCAAGATATTATAAAGATGTAATAGATAATTCCTTATGTGCTGGTTTATGCATGGAATTTGCTACTTCTTTCGAAGGTTCTGTTAGTAAAAAACAATGTTTTTGTACAGAAGGAAAATATATGATTAGAGAATCTTCAAAAGAAATGAAATGTGTAAATTGCTCAGAAGGTTCAATATGCATTGGTGGTTTTAAATTAAAATCATTAAAAAATTTAATAAATAATCAATATTTTATAGATTTAGGTATTTATGATCATGTTATCCCATTTCCTAAAAAAGGATACTTTTCTACTTTTCAAATAGATCATGAAGATTTTGCATGGGTTCCACTGAACTCTCTTAATATTGAAATAAATAATAACGAAAATAATAACATAATAATTAATGAAAAAATAATGAAGAATATATTTCATAAAAAATTAAGTTATATTACTTTAGAAACAAATCACAATATAAATAAAAATGAAAATTCTAAAATAGAAGTTAATTATATTAGTGATAAGTTATTTGACAATTTAAAAATGGGTGACGCATTAAGTGATACTCAAAAACCAATATTAGTTACTGAAAAACTAGAAAAAATAAAATACAAAAATAAATATTTAACTGTAGATAGGGTTCCTGATGTTCATCTATGTCCAATTACAAAAAGATGTGTTGGAGGTGTTAATAATTTATGTTATGAAGGATCAGAAGGATACTTATGTAATAATTGTTCAGAAAATTATGACATTATTTATTTTAGATCTCAATGTTTTAAATGTAAAGGAACAAAAACAGAATTACTATATTTTATGATTCGTAAAATTTTTTTTTACATATTAATCTTATTATTAGTTTATATGAATTATTTCTGTTATTTAAAAAGGAATTATGTATTTATAGGGATATTAAAAATATGGTATTTTTTTATTATTTGTTTTTTACCTTATGGTTTTATATTAGATCCTATTTCAAATTCTTTCAAAAATTATATATTATATTTTCAAATTTTGATTAATTTACCATTGAGATTTATTGGTCATTATTTTAAGTTTAATTGTTTTTTCAGTTCTTACAATAATGAGAAATATATTTTTATATGGTATATACAAAGATTTGTAAAAATTACGGAGCCTATAATTGATTGTGCTATTTTGACTTTCATTGTTTTTTTAACATACCTTATATATACTTTTTATAATTATAAAAAAATAAATATAGTTCAAAAAGTTATTAAAAAACAGCTAAATAATGTGAATGAAAATCCTTATTATATGCATGTATCTGATTTCTATTACCATTACTATCAAAGGCAAATGATTGATACAATAAAAAATAAAAATAAAACTGTTACTTTTAAAAAATGGGAACAAAGTTATTTTGTAAATGAATATTCATCATATGAAGACAATTATATGAATTTTAATGAAAATAAAGGAATAAAAAAGCAAAAAAACAACAAAACTGTAGATACTTCATATGATACTTCTACTTCCGATAATAATAAATTGTCTAGTTTTGAAAGTTTCTCATATAACAAAAGTTTATTAAATAAAAACAAATCTTCTAGTTATGAAAATATGTATAATTTTAATGATAACTTTCATAAAAATAAATTACCTAATTATTCTATAAAAGAAAATATTTCAAAAGATAAGTATTGGACATATATATGCTTACTAAATATCTACAACATCAGGGCCCTAGGATTATTTCGTTATATACATCCCTATAATATTAGCCTATTCAATAAAATAAAAAGAATTTTTTCAGATTTAATATCAGTATATATAATTGTTCTATATATTTATTTTCCTTTTATACTTATTAACTTATTAGAACTTATATGGTGCCAACAAATACAATACAAAAACGAACGTCCTATATTCGTATTATATCATATGCCTTCACAAGTTTGTGATTTCAGGAATAAATTATTTTTATCAGGTGTAATTTTTTCTTCTTTTTTTTTTTGTGGATTTATAATTTTATTTATAACTTACAACTACAGTACTATGAGAAATTTTAAATTTTTTTATTCTTATTCCAGTCAATTAAAGAGTTATTTTTTATTTAATGGACATAATTATCAAAATAGATGTTGGGAATTTGTTAATATAATAAAAATATTTTTTGTTATGATATCATTCATTTGCCAGTTATATACAAAAAGAGATAATAACTCTAAATATTTTATTTGTTGCTGTATTGTTTTTATTTTAACAACTGATGTTACTTTAATTTTATTATATTCCCCATATGATAAAAGATCTAACAACGTATTACATAAATTAGGTTTGTCCTCCTCTTTTTCTATCCTTATATCATATTTAACACTACAATTCAATTTCTTTTTTAACTTCGTTATAATAAATATATTACCAATCCTATTATTTGTCTATTTTCATATATATATGATAAATAAAATTATACTAGAATTTGCAATATATGAAAATATTTTTAAAAGTAAAGAAATCACAGAAAATATAGAGAAAAAAAATTCTGAAGATTTATTGAATGAAAACACATTTTTCTTTTCTAAACAAAAGAATAATGAAAACTTCATGAATATCAAAATGTGTGAAAGTTACAAAAAAAATAATAAATTAAAAAAAAAAACAAGTTTACAAGGTAACAATAATGATAATAATATTTTTGATTTCCTTTTAAGATTAAATAAAATTCCATTTAATTATATTTTTTTCAATGAGAAAGAAGAAGAAATTTTTTTGTTGCCAAAAAATTTTATGAAAAAAAAATGTGAAAAAACAATAAATAGTTTAAAAGCTAAAAATTTTAACATAGCTAAAACAAGAATAAGTTTAGATTTGTTACACTCTGATTTACATTACTACAATATCAGAAAGCATTCAAACAAATACTCTTCTAATATAAATTATTCAGACTTAAAAAAAACAAATAGTAGTTTTGATGAATTCATTGAAAAAAAATTATCAAATAAATCTTTCAATTCCTTAAATAAAGAAAAGAAATTCTCTAAAAAAAAGTATTTAAGCAATATGGATGTATATCCTTCAGAAGACAATAAATTTTCCAAAAATGTAAAGCAGTTCATAAATTGCTTAATAGAAGCAATAAATATATTATTTGTTAATCAGTCATATAATCAAATAACAGTTGAATGGTTAAGCTTTATTACAAGATTTTCTATTTGCTTTATACATTGGATGAAAAACCATGATGAAAATTTAATTAATCTTGTTCCTTTAAATAAAAGACAATTTGAATTAAAAAAGAGAAATCTTTTATTTTATTCTTTATTTAGCTCTTATTCAGAGACTTATTCCATATATTTGGGTTTTGATAAAAACAATAAATTTACCAATTTTATAGAAAATTTTGTAAAAGCGGAAAATTTAGAAAGTTTTTATGTTTATTTAAAAAAGTTTGAGAATACTTTAAAAAAGTCGAGTACTTCACATGTTCAAACATCTCATAATTGTCAAAATAATGATGAACGAAAAAATTATTCATATAGTAACTTTTTGGAAGATAAGTTTTATAGATGTGAACAAGATTTAATTAAAATGCTATTTGATGAAAATATATTTAAAAAATTATCAATCTCATTAGTAGAATTTTATTTTGCTATTTATATGATCCAATTTATTGAAAGCAAAAAACTATCCATTTTAATTTTTCTGTTTTGCGAAAAAAAAAGTAATTTAAATAAGGAAAAACAATTTTTAAAACAAATAGAATCTAGAAGTAAGAAAATTCAAAATATGAAATATAGCGATAATAGTAATAAAGTTTATGAGTTTATTGAATATTGTTATTTGAAAGAATCTAATGAAATAATGAAAAAACAAATTAAAAAATTACAAAGCTTAATTAGAAAAAAAGAACAAAAATTATTAAAAAAAGAAAAAATGAAAAGTATAAAATGTGCACATATAAATCAAAAAAACAAAATTACTAATTTAAACTCCTGTTTTGTTCAAACTTTGAAAAAGCTTTTAGAAGAACCACCTTCATGTACAAACAAATTACAACAAAATATTTCAAGTTATGCAAAGGAGAAAAAAGAGTCAAATAATTTAATAAATGAAGTATAAATATATAAAAAAATAAAATTATAATTATATTGAAAACTTAATTATATTTCTAAATACCTAACATATTTATTATAAAAACACATGTATATATTATCCTTTTTTCTATGTAAATATAGTTAATAGGATGTATTCTTAAAATATTTTTTTTACAAATTTTTTATTTTTTATATATTTGCATATTTTAAAATTTATACAAAAAAATATAAAAAAATAAATGTATATATAATTTTTTTATTAAGGTGAAGGAAAAAATAGAATTAGATAAAGAGGAAAAACGTAAATAATATAACTGACAAAAGGAAGGAAATACTTGATAATGTCTAATAATGTTGAAGAACAAAAATACTAATACGTCTTATAAAATTATACGATTATATCATTGTTCACCTTGTTTTTAAAAAAAGTAAAACTCTGGCTTAAAATTAACAAATTAAAAAAAAAAAAAAAAAAAAAAAAAAAGTTATACTTTTCTATATTTTAAGAGATATCAACACTAATGCTTTTTCAATTTTTTTTTTTTTTTTTTTTTTTAAAAAAAAAGTGTTTTTGATTTAAGGCATATAATATATGTATTTTTTTTTATATATTTTAAAAGTTTTACATATATGTATTCATTCTACTTATATATTTTCAATTTTATATAATTTTTAAAATTATAAGTTGTATATGTTCTTTTTTTCTTTTCGTATGAATACTTAAAAATTTTTTTTTATATTTCTAAAAATAAAATTTATTGTAAAAGTTTATTATTTTAAAAATATTAATTCATTTCTAAACTAAATCAAATATTAATAGATTTCAGATCTGAATCATCAATTATGTAGTGTTTTAAGCTTTTAAATTTAGAATCATCAAATAGACTGTTTTATATATGCATTCATAAAATTTAAAATACTATTACAAAATTTATTATTTATATAAATTATATTAAATGATAAATATATTTTTGTAATGTAAAAAAGAAAAATCTATAAACATGGATAATATTTTTTTTTTTTATTTAACATATTTGAAAAATTTTTAAAGCATTAAACATGAGCTAATTAAGCAAAAAGGTTTTTTTTTTTCTTCCATTTTATGTAAATTCTAGAAAAAAAAAAAAAAAAAAAAAAAAAAAAAAAAAAAA